TTAACAAAAGATTTAGAAAAAAAAATGTTTATACCTAAATCTATATATATATATTTATCTATTAATACTTTTACGTATATCTATAATGTATAATAATTATATCTGAAAATATAAAACAAATACCAACTTTGTAAGAAAACAATATTTGTGAATCTTAAGACCCAATATCCTTATTATTTGCAAAGAAATCAACATTTTCTAATCCTTCCGGTAAATAATTCAATCCAGATATATCTTTATGCAACATATTATATCCCTTACCATACCCTACAAAAAAAAAAAATATATATATATATAAAGGAAAAAAAGGTAATTTTGACAAATTAATGAAGCAGAAAATTTTTGAATTACCTAGACTCTTAGAAACTTTTGTTTGAGAACTTCTTAAATGCAACGGGACTCCTGGTTGAGGGCCTTTATGAGTTGCCACTACTTTCTGAGCTGCTCTAAGCGCATCTTCCATCAATCTAGACTTTGGAGCACGAGCTAAATAAATTGTACATTGTGCTAAAAGAACATCGCATTCTGGCATGCCTATCATTTTACAAGCACTCATAGTATGTACGGCAATATCTATAATAATTATGTAATGTAACATTTTTCACTAACAAACATAATTGTTCTTTTTTTTTATTAAATTACTAATATCTTCTTACTCAAAGCTTTTGGATCTGCTAAGCCAACATCTTCACTCGCCATTCTAACTAATCTTCTTGCTATATAAACTGGATCTTCACCGCCCTCAATCATTCTAGTTAACCAATAAAGAGAAGCATTTTCATCACTTGCTCTTACCGCTTTATGCAAAGCTGAAATCATGTCATAATGTTGGTCTCCTTTTCTGTCATACAACATATGTGTTTTTTTTAGATTTTCTTTAACATCATTTAACGTAATCAGTACAGGCTCAGTTTCCACAAATTCTTCTTTGCTTGGTGTTTTAGATTGTACAGCAAGTTCTAATCCACCTAAAGCTATTCTAGCATCACCATCGCATGTTTCTGCTAACCATTTTATGGTTGCTTCATCTACAATAAATCTTGGAATCGACGATGTATTAGATCCACTTGCTTCCAAATTAATATCGTTACAAAAATTATCTTTACTTTTAGACTCTGATGAAATTTGTATTATTCCTCCTAATGAAGATAATGCACATTTTAATATTGACACTAAATTAGATATAGATAACTTTTCTAATACAACCACTCTACAACGACTCAACAATGCAGAGTTTAAATTATACGAAGGATTTTCAGTGGTAGCTCCAATAAGAGTAATCGTTCCTGATTCAACATGAGGAAGAAAAACGTCTTGCTGAGTTTTATTAAAACGATGTATTTCATCCATAAATACTATTGTACGTCTACCAAATTTCAATTCGTTAGCAGCTATGTTAATCACTTCTTTTAAATCACTAACTCCTGCTATGGCAGCTGATAACTTTACGTATCGCATCCTATTCTTTGTATTATTTTTTTTACATATATGTGCTATAACATTTGCCAATGAAGTCTATAAAAGATAAATTTGTTATAATTCATATAATACAATATAAATATATATAATGCATTATTATATTTTTATATATAATATATATTACCTTACCACATCCAGGCGGTCCCCATAAAATAATATTAGGTACTTCTCCTTTATGCAGTAATTGAAACAAAGTGCATTGAGGTCCAAGAATATGATCCTGCCCAACGTATTCTGAAAGATTAGATGGTCTCATTCTTTCAGCAAGAGGTACGTGATCATTCTTTCGAGCTTTCTTAACCGGATTTTCTACCTACAAATTAAATCAAATGATAATAACCATTTAAATTTCCAAAATTAGAAATATATATTAAATAATTATTATTCAAGTTACTATATTTCCTTTCGTCTCCAAATCTTGCTTAATAGTATCTTGTTTTGTATCATCTTCCTTCGTATTATCTTGTATCGTACAATCACCCTTAGCAGTTAAAAATGTTTGTCCTGAACTAAGTTTTCTTTTTGTAACTCTATTATCAGACTTTTTGATAGAAAAACTTTTTGATTTAAGTGATTTATTACTTCCAGGACTTGGACTCGATTCTTTTGAAATACCAGCTTTACTTGAATCAAGTAAAAATAAACATTTAACAACGTGAGACTCAATTAAAGTAGATGGAAAATCAATTTGACATATAGGACACGATACTTGTTCGTTATTCATCTTTAAATCTGTAAATAAATGTACAAAATTATATACATACAGAATATATGCATAAATATTTGTTCTTTATGGATTCCTTATACATAATTAATATTTTTTAATTTCGTTCAATTTTTAATCAACAAGAATTAATCTAACAATAGAAGATGTAAACAAAAAAAATATTAAATGGTGCTTGTGCAATTGCGTAAAAAGTAAAAACAAAGAAATGTAATGACAAAATTCAAATAAGTTACGCGTTAATTATTTCAACTCATTCCAACGAGTTTTCTAATACAGACATTATACCTTGATGAAATAAACAATTACTATGATTAATATACAATTACTATAACTCCATCAGCGTACTTCGAATTGACAAATTGTTACAACGAGAATTTGCATGAAAATCAATAGAATAATAAAATATAATAGAAGTTAATGCGAGGTCTGATATTAAACAGTTACCGTATGCAGTACTTTACTATCTAAATGTTTTAAAATTATCAGCCGTATATATAAAAAGTTCGTATGTTTTACGTAAAGATTCCTTATTAATTAAATTATAATTTTTCTTAAAAATATATTGCGCATGCTCTTAAACTTTAACATTTCACTTAAATATGAATGACTATTGTTGTTTGTTTTTAAATGTAAATAGCATCAAATTACACATTCACTTTGTGTATACTACTTGTAATTAAAAGTTACTAGGAAATAAGAAAGTTTCAAAAATATTGAAATTCTAGTAACATGGCTAAGCCGATATTGGTAATAGTAGTACTACCTTTATCTTACCGGTCGAGATCTGATGGTAACTTACCATCAGAATTACCAACAGTAAAAAAATTATTAGTTGATAAGGCAGACAATTATGGATTAAGAATGAGCATTTAGTGAGCAATTAGTTGCACATATTAGTTTCTTACTGCTATAGGTTTTCTATGCTGTCGTAATT